TTTATTCTGAATATTTCATTAATGCATTTTACTTCATTCTTTATCCCAGTTTCCCCCAACAAGGCACCCTCCAAACATGTTGGACTACGACACCCATTGTTGCCAACCCACATGGCCAGTAATAATGGGTGATGGGGTTTCTGGTACAGTTGCTTGGGAGTTGCGAAGTTGGGGGAAGAATGCTTTCGTCATAAAGAAAAGAAAAAAAATTCAGAGCCGATAACAGGCATCAGTAGCGTGAAATACAAGGCATGTCACACAAGGAAGAAGGGATGGGGAGGGAAGAGGAGAAAGAGAAAAACATGCTCAGCCACCATCTTTTGTAATACAGTTCTAATAGTAATTAGCTGGGGCCGAAATGGTTCAGACAGGCTCAGTGGCAAAACACCCAGAACTGCAATTTCCTCTGCCGTTTTGCCTCCCCTCTGGGGATGATCTATCTGAAGGGGTGAGTTGCAATATGGGGTCACCAGTGCCATCATCTTATGTCTCCAAGTTATAAACAGGTAACTGGTTGCCACATCATGACTTTAAAGGTGCAGGTTTTATCTTTGGGTGTCCTCCAACACACATCATCCTGCCAACCTAGCCGTTCAAAAGCATGCAAATGCAAGTAGATAAATAGGTACCACCATGGTGGGAAGGTCAACGGCGTTCTGTGTCTAGTCACGCTGGCCACGTGACTATGGAAACGGTCCTCGGACAAACACTGGCTCTACGGCTTGGAGACGGGGTTGAGCACCGTGCCCTAGAGTTGGACACAACTGGACTCAATGTTAAGGGGAACCTTGACATTGCTACATCTAACAATGACTGTTCATCAGGTATCAGGTGTTCTCTTTGCCTGTATTTCTCCGCAACCTTCTTGCAAAGTTCACGTGCGTTCCCTGGGGCCATCAAACTGCGGGGACACATCCCGGTTGAGCACAGCACGTAAAGGGAGCCTTGCAGATGAAGGAGAGAGAGATCTCTGCTCTCTCGGGGACGCGACAACTTTTCTCGGTCTCCTTCCCGCAGGTTGGAGAGCTGGCAATACGAGGAGTGGGGTTCTCAGGTGACGGTGGTTTCCCGCGACATGCGGGAATGGGAGGCACCGGAGAAGGCCGACCTCATGGTGTCAGAGCTGTTGGGGTCGTTCGCCGACAACGAGCTCTCCCCGGAATGTCTGGATGGGGCCCAGCATTGCCTGAAAGGTGAGGCTGGCACGTTGAATGCAGCAGAGCGAGTCAGGGGGTGCAAAACGTGAACACCGTGACTGAGGTTGTAACCCAGAGGGAGCGGGAAGAGGGGGAATTGTATTCCCTTGATGCCTCTGAGAGCACTTTTTAATTGTCACATAAATCAGGTTGGGAAGGGGGCAGAGCCACTCCTCAAGCTCAAAAAATCCAGATTGGAAGACACTTTGGGGTTTTGCATGATTCAGTCTTTGACCCCCTTTTTTGTCGTTTCTTTACCCACTTCCACCACAGGTTTGCTCCCTGAATGATCAGCAGCGATTCCCGACTTTGGGTAAGCCAGCTGTTCTTGGACTGCAACTCCCAGAAACCCCGGGGCAGCACAGCTGGTGGTGAAGGCTTCTGGGAATTGCAGTCCAAAAATATCTGAGTTACTAGAGGTTGGGAACCACTGTGCTCAGGGAATCAGCTGAGCTAAATGTCTCACCCCACATCTTAACCCTTGGAGCCTTTCTCCCCTGTTCTTTCCCTTCTCAGAGGGGGGCGTGAGCATCCCTTGTGATTATACCTCCTTCTTGGGCCCCATCTCCTCCTCGAAGCTTTACAACGAAGTCCGTGCCTGCCGTGAGAAAGACCGGGATCCAGAGGTGAGATGTTCTCTGTGGTTTTTGCACGAAACCTCCGCAGCGCTGTCGTTTCTCCATGCTAGAGAGCACAAATGCCGTCCTTGGAAAAGCAGAATCCTCTGCGGCCTGTAAAAATGTCAGAGATTTAAAAAAAACAAACGGAAATTAACTAGCTTAAGCCAGAGCATACAAGGGATGTAAAAGGCAGGGTCATAAAAAAAAGGGGTTCTAAAATTTGTCATTGACGGCATGTCCTAAAATCTGCTTGTCAAGGCTGTGAGACCCATCATTTAAAACAACAGAGAGATTTATGTATTATCTGAACAGTGTAGGCACTTGTTATGTCAGCGTTCATAATATAGATTCCAACCCACAGAAGTTTATGATCTGTTAAATGTGCTAAATCAGGGCATGGAAATCTTTACTTGCTTGGTCTACAACTCCCAGAAGGGTGGCTGGCGTTTCTGTAGGTGGTGACAAGTAGCCCCCTTAACCAAGTAGCCCCCTTATCAGGGGCCACAAGAAGCTGAATGTAAAATGTCTGGGTTTATTATCATTACAATTCAGTTTTTGTTTGTTTGATGACGACACATTTTTGAATTTTTCCCAAATCGCAGTCCTTGTTGTTTTTGATACAGCATCACTGCTCCTGTTACGATTCATAAAGACCTTGCGGGGTGGTCCCAAAATTCTTGTGAGGTTACAGATTTTTAAGGTCCAGGGAGTGTTAAGAGCTGTACATTGTTGTAAATAGGGCTTCCTATTTGATTTTTAAAAACTTCTCAAAGCCAAAAAAACACAACCAAACCACGCCTGTAGCCTTGAGCTGCTGTGTGAATGCCTGAATTTGCTTCTCCTGTAGTCTAATGCTTGCCGTTTGTAATAGGCCAGTGTAGAAGACAGAAGGTTTAGTGTGCATTTTTAATGGACAGAGTAGATTTGATTTCTGTCCTGCTTTTTTCAAACTGGCTTATGGCTGAGTAGAACAATTACAAATTGAGCATAGAATGTGTAAAAACCAGCAGCATCTGGAAGAGCAGTGTTTTGGGGAGAATAACCGTGAATTATGAACTGGGGTGGGTAATGTCCAGGGCCCCAGTATGCCGCCCCCCTCACCCCAGATACAGACATAAATTTTGTGAACGTTATAAAGGTGTCAAGCGCTCTGAGGGATAAGGGCAATTTTGTCACACTTTCAACCTGCTCTAGACCAGAGGGGAAGGTACTTTTTCTGAAACTGAGACCTCCCTTGTCCTGAAAATATTGGAAAGTCACTATAGGGCGTAAAGGATTTTAAAATTAAAACAGTCTGGATTTGGGGTCTCTGGAATTTTTCCATCCTCATTCTGATTTGATGCTGTTGAATGTGGGAAGTTCTGGGTTCAAATCTCTACCATGGAAGTTCACTGGGAGTATGGAACTGGTGAAAGCTCTATTTGGGTTGCTCTAAGTCGATTCCCGTTTGATGAGACAAAAGTAATTAAAGTGCGAAAGCAAGTACATGACTCACGCTTGGTATCCTTCCTGTCTTTTTCCTCTTCAGGCTCAGTTTGAAATGCCTTATGTTGTTCGGCTTCACAACTTCCACCAGTTAGCACCCCCTAAACCTTGCTTCTCCTTCAGACATCCCAACCCAGGTAGGAAAAGAACTGGATCTGACCCAGCCATGCTTAGGGGGATGAGCAGGGGAGCACCGGGATACTCTCAGTTCTGTAGTTGGGAAGAAGACTGGTGATTGTGGTTTAGTCGTTAAGTCGTGTCCGACCCTTCGTGACCCCCATGGACCAGAGCACGCCAGGTCCTCCTGCCTTCCACTGCCTCCCAGAGTTGGGTCGAATTCATATTGGTCGCTTCGATGCCCCTGTCCAGCCACCTCATCCTATGTCGTCCCCTTCTCCTCTTGCCTTCACACTTTCCCAACATGAGGGTCTTTTCCAGGGAGTCTTCTTTTCTCATGAGATGGCCAAAGGATTGGAGCCTCAGCTTCAGGATCTGTCCTTCCAGTGAGCACTCAGGGTTGATTTCTTTCAGAATGGATAGGTTTGTTCTCCCTGAAGTCCAGGGGACTCTCAAGAGTCCCCTCCACCACCACAATGCAAAAGCATCCATTCTTTGGCAGTCAGCTTTCTTTATGGTCCAGCTCTCACTTCCATACATCGCTACTGGAAAAACCATAGCTTTGGGTATGCGGACCTTTGTCGGCAAGGTGGCGTCTCTGCTTTTTAAGATGTTGTCTAGGTTTGTCATCCATTTCCTCCCAAGAAGCAGGCGTCTTTTGATTTCGTGGCTGCTGTCACCATCTGCAGTGATCATGGAGCCCTAGAAAATAAAATCTGTCACTGCCTCCATCTTTTCCCCTTCAATTTGCCAGGAGGTGATGGGGCCAGTGGCCATGATCTTGATTAGAAGACAGGTAGCTATGCCTTTAAAAATAGTACAATTGCCCCCCCCCCCAATGGCTTGAAATAGACAGAGGAGCTGCTCTCCCACTCTCCATAAGAAAGCATGGGTTTTGATAACACAGTAAAAAAAGAAGAAAAAACTGCTTGTTCATGGTACACAGTCCAAAAACAAAGGAAGGTCAGAACTTTATGAGACCAATAAAGTCTAGGACACAGAAACTAGGTTTTGACTGCACCAGTCTCCATTATGTGCTGTGGCCGATATTGGAAAAAGAGTTTCAATATCTATTTCAGAACTTGCTTTAATTAAGGAATACGGTCCACACATCTGGCCGTGGGATTTTGGAACCTCTCTTTTCTCTGCAGCAGCCCCAGCTCTGGGATGCTGCTAAAGACTCGTTGAGAGTCAAAAGCTAGCCTTTTTGTGTAAGGTTTTAATGTTCTAATAGAGGCACCGTCCACCTTTGTCCCTGGATCACGTCTCTCTCCTCTGTATCCTTGAAGGAGTGTGACTCTGGATGATCCTAGTCCCCTCACCATTTTTCCCCCACCTGCAGACTCTATCAAAGATAACAACCGCTACCAGACGCTGGAGTTCCAGGTCAATGTGAACACCGTGCTTCATGGTTTTGCTGGGTACTTTGAGACCACCCTCTATGGAGACATCACTCTCAGTAAGTGGACTGAGGAGAAGTCGGGCTCTTAGATAACGGGGGGAGTTGGGAACAGATGGTACGGTTGTGATGCTGCAGAACATGCCACTTCCTCTGTTTTCCTCCATTTGCCCTCCCATCTAGGTATTCGTCCGGAAACTCACTCACCAGGCATGTTTTCATGGTTCCCTATTTTCTTCCCCATCAAGGTTAGTGCCTCCTTAAAGACTCTCCATGGGGGAGTAAGTCTTTTATCAACAAGCTCTGTATGTCTCTATCTTTTTCTTGTTTCCAATGGTTTTATTTTCTCATAACTTTGTTCACACACACACTAGTTCTCTTAAGCCAGTAGGAATGGTTAGATTTCTCACTTGGGTAAGAAAATTTGGGCATCCATGAGTGAGAAAAGCATAACAAAAAAGTCAGTTTAGAATTGTACAAGCGAAAAGAACCAGCAAAGTGTGCTGCTTATATACCACACCGTAGAACCCTCTGGACAGTTTACAATTTAATTATGCAGGCTATGCATTGAATACACACAGACCCCAGCACTCTGAATACTCAGTTTATTGACCTCAGAAGGATGGAAGGCTGAACGAACCTTGAGCCAGCTACCTCGGCTTGAACCCAGGGTCGTGAGCAGAGTTTTGGCTGCAGTACTGCAGTTTAACCACTGTGCCATGAAGCCTGTAGTTGTCATTTTCAGTTTTTAAAAATGTTCAATAAAAAAGAGAGAAGAAGTTGAAGACCTGTCTAATTATGCTTTGCAGTAGCATTCACCTCTGCAGATTGATCTTATGCAGTTTTCTGCCAGGAGTTCCACTGCGAAGGGATGTAGATTTATAGGTGTAGATTCCTCAACTGAGTTGGGGACAGTATATTCTTGACTACTGAATGGCCTCTGCTATTTACTGTCTTCTCTCCCTAGCAACCTATGAGCGTGCAGGCAGGCGAGCGTATCCGGGTGGCCTTCTGGCGTTGCAGCACCTCCAAGAAAGTTTGGTACGAGTGGGCTGTAGTTTCCCCCATGTGCTCTGTCATCCACAACCCCACGGGACGTTCCTACACAATTGGATTGTGAGCAGGAGTTCAGTCCATTCTCATGAACGGCATCCCCATTGCCTCTCACCCTGAGACACAAGAGAACGTCCTCCACTCCAGCATGAAATACTTGATTTTTGTTTATAGAGGCACAAGGTCTCCCCACGTTTGCTGGGTGAAAGTCAACTTTCATTGAATCCCTCCTGCTTTGATCATGTCTTTCTGGTCTTTGAAATTTCAATAAAGTTGCTGAAGTTTGAGCTTCTGCCTCTCACGAAAGCCTGTAGATAAGCCGTGTAAAAAAAGTGGCTCATCCTTTTGAGAGTTCGCTGTCATACAACCGCCCTGGGCTTCAATGGCTTTGGATAAAAGTTTGAGGAGTGTTGTGGGAGGCGTGGTATGATAGATGAATAGAACTTCCATGTGCAGAATCAGTCACTCTGTGCAGCCATTCCCATAGGGCTGAATTTGAGGTACACAGCACACCCAAAAATATGTTATATCTTTGCATATTGAGTGTGAGTGTTGGCTGACCATTGTTATTGAGTTATTGGGATCAGGAGAAGCAGACTTCTTCAGATACGTTTTGATCTTCGGAGACAAAAGGATGCTCAACAGCTCGAGGGGCCCCGTGTCTGAGATTTCTCTGCCTCGTTTGCACCAGTGCTGGTCTGAGCCAGTAGAATGGTTACTGCGCTCTGTTTTGTAAGCCCGTCCTGATGATAGTTTTCACAGCTGAATACTTCTGTTTTTGCTCATCCATTTATTGGGATTATGAAGTCATGTCAGGGAAATGAATTGCAAACCCGTTTAAATTTACAACCGTGCCGTGCTCCTCTGGAAGGCTTGCCAAAAGCCATATATATGCAAAGGAGAGGTATCCCTGGGGCGGAAAGACAGTCTGGCAGAGAGTGCCACAAAAACACGCGGAGTAGAGTGCATAAATTAGGGTGGCCGCGTGGCTCCTGGGCAAGGCTGTCCTCCGTTTGAACAGCTGCCAGGGAACCACCTCCTCTATTTGAAGGGCTGTCGGATTGGAGTTTGGTTTAAAAATAAAACTCCAGGAGGAAGATTGGAGGCTTTGTCACTACCCGTCCTCATTTCGCATCACACAGGGCAGCATCTTCCCCCGCTTGAGCGGGAGGTGCTGCAATTCTGGCCAGCTAGAAAAAAACGTTTCTGCTTTTACAACATCATAAATTGCAAATATAGAAATCTGGCCTCTTTTGTTGCCTTCCCCCCCCCCTTAATTTGGAAGGCCTTTTTTTCATGATGTGCCAATGGCTACTTTGAGGGTGTGAAATCAGTACACATGCCAAATGCGTGGTATGCTTTAAACAAAGCATCCCGTGCACAGGGGAAGACGTGGCCTGGGGCATAGCAAGCCGTGAGGAGAATGGCAGCCATTTTGGGGCCTGGGAGGCCCCTATGCCAGCAGAAGCGAGATTAAAATATAAATACGTTTAAGGTTCCACTGTGTTATTGTCTTCTTTATGCTTTTATTTTGTTTTTGCTTTTGGAACTGAGGAACGTGATCCTTTGGGGCCATGGTGGCTGGGGTATTTTTTCTGGGAGGAAGCTCTGGTAAAGGGCCAGCCAGCTGGGCTATAAACCACCATGTGTATTTGGGGAATACACACGGTGTGTTCCCAAACGTGTATTTGGGGGAAGGTGACTTGGTCGTCGTTGCCACTTCAATCAAGGCCCCAAAAGGGGGAAGAGCCCTTGTTGCCGTGGCAACTGCCCAACACACTTTCAAGAACTTAGTGGCCTTCGACCTCCTGGCTGGAGAGAGAGAAACAAGAGGTCTCTCCATCGCCACAACAACAGTACGGCCAATCACAGCTCGGTTTACACTCCGGGCGGCCGTCCAATCAGGGCAGGCGAGTTGAAAGTACAGTAAGTGGTTGCTCGGGATTCTTTGTTCCGGCCCTCGAGAATGTTAGCCAGTGGGAGGTGAACAATACCACCTTTATTTTTTTCCCGTCGTTCCATCCAATCAGAGCCTACCGGCAGCGTCTCGACGAATCAGTTGTAAAGAAGTCCCGCCTTTGGCCCATCTCCGGCCTACACCAATTGGCTCATCCTCGGCGAGGCGAGGGAAAGAACAAAGCGTCTCTCATTGACGATCTATTGTCAAATGAGCGTCGACGTCGGCGATGGAAATCCCGCCTCCTTGCCGCAGCAGGTCCAATCGCTGCTCGACTTTCCCGGCCCTCCGCCCCCCCGCCGGTGCCTTTCTTCCTCCTCCGTTAGCCAATCAGTGGCCTAAAGGCCCGCGCGCGTGCGCTCTGCGGCCCTCGCCAGGCGAAGGAGAAGGGAGGGGGAAAGGAGAAGGGAGGGAGGAAGAGTTGGCCGCCATCTTAGCGTCGCTGCTGTGGCCGCCGCTGCCGCTGCCGCCTCGGAGGAAAGAACGGGAGCCTCGGAGCCGACCAGGGCTGAAAAGACTGCCGGGGTCTAACGGCCAAAAGGGAGGGGGAGGTGGGTGAGTGATATCTGAGGGGAGGGAAAGGGGTCCCGAGCCGCAAAACCGGCAGAGCCCGTGACGTCACCGCCGCGGCCGTGACGTCAGCGGGAGGGGTTCGTGGAGCTTTCGCGTCCCAAAAAGTTGAGGGGGGGGGAAGGGGGAGAGGGCCGCAGGCGAGCCAGGAAAGGGGGCGGGGTTTGCGGTAGAGGGGGCGTGGCCTTCCCCGTTGCCTGCTCTTTTTGGACGGGAGGGGAGGGTCTCCCTTTTTCCTGGGGGGGTGTTGTGGGGTTTGGGGGAGGAATAAAGGCCGAGAAACACGAGGGGTCGAGCCCAGGTAGGCGTTTTCCGTGTGATTTGAGGGAAAGGGGGGGTCAAGGAGAGGCCTAGTGAGTCTCAAGGCACGTCACAAGATGGTGCCTGGAGGTTGGAGTCGGGGCGCTGCTGATCATGGCGGGGGGGGATGTGTGCCACTTCCCACCCCACCTCTGGCCGCCCCTTCCTCCCTCCCTTTCCTCCCTAGGAGGACACTTGCAACCTCCAAGAAATAAAAGCGCAAAGCTGGCTAGGAAGGCTGGAATCGGTGGGGAGGGGGCTTGTGGGGCTAACCCCCTCCTCCGCCCAATACAGGAATCCATCCATCTGTCAGTAACTTGGGGGCCGTTGCTGGGGGAATGGGGTCGGCCGGTTTCTAAAGGCCAGGAGTGTGGGAGGCCATGGACACAAAATGGCACCCTGTTGAACTTCTTCATCTTCCCAATATTGCTGCTTTCCTCAAGAAAGAAAGAAAGAAGGAAGGAAAATGAGCCTGTCTTATGTGCTTATGGGACAATTATGACTCCCAAGGTGCAAGAAAAAGGAGCCCTTCTTGTGTGACTCAAGCCCAGAAAGCATAGATGGGAATTCCCTTTCTTTTTCTTTCTTTTGGCACATCCATATAACTCAAAGAGTTGTCAAACCCCCCAATCTTTCCACTGTGTCTTTCTTTTTCTTCTAGAGGAGATCCAGAAGTTTAACCTGTATTAGAGAATTTGTGGGAAAACTCAGTATTAGCAGGTTGTTTGGAAGCGGGGCCCAGTTTCGGAAGAAACCAGGGAATGTGGTGGAATTCTTAAGAGAAAGCTACATAAGAACATATGGGCTCTCTCTTTAGGCTTGGATGGGTGGGAAGGCAGGAAGCGTGTAGGCTGTATTAAGAAAAGCCAAGGGATTATTTCGTTAGCCTTCTACAAACTGTTCTTGAGATGAGTGGAACTACAGAGCCCATCATGTCTAGAAGAGGCTAAGGAAACCATGATGGAAAATACTGTCCCCCACACTTTTAGAGTGGTCGTTTGACCAGATAGGCGGGATATAAAGTAAATAAATAAATACTAGGGTAATGGCTGATTTGCAGTGGCATGTATGTATGACCTTCCTGATCACAGTCTTGTAAACAAATGAGGAAGTTGAAATAGTGTGTTTTGTTTCCTTATTAAGGAGGCTATCACGATGCCTTTCAGACGAATTTGAGAGAGTAGGAGTAGATTGTTCAGAATGTAGATTCCCAACCTGCCTGTTGGCCTTGGTTGCTGGGGTGTCTGGGAGTTTAACTAGGAGCAGAGTTTGAGATTGAGTGCTGGTGTTTTCGTGTGAACTAGGAGTATGAGTTTCCTGCCTCTTTTCAGGCTGCAGGCTGCTTTGAGGACAGACAGAGGTATGTATTTGAATAAATAAGACAGGGTAATTGAGGTCACAATTACATGAATTGGGGGTCAGTTGATTTGATGAAGGAGGGAATGAGTGCTACAGTGGTGTGGTGCTCCTCTTGAAGGCTTGCCAAAAGCTATATGAGGTTAATAATTTTGATATGTGACTGTTTGGACTGATGCTTTGTTTTAGCAGTGTAGAACTCATCATGGCTATGTTCGGTGGTTTGACTCCAGCACACGTTGGCCCAGCCTGTGTGGCTAATGGTAAGGGGTGTTAGGAGGAGTTGCTTGCCAGCTACATCTGGAGAGTCATTCATGCTTCACAGAGTGTGAAGACTGGCAAATACCTCAAATCCATGGGAGTTGCTTACTAGCGTTGGTTGGGCCCAGTGTTCTAGTTATGTACAGTGCTAGTTTTCTTTGGTGCCACCTTACAGGAATGTAGTAGCTTCTGTAATTGTTTCCTGGAGACTAGCGCTTGGGAATTTGAGATTGTCCATCTGTGAAATAGTCCCAAAAGTGTGTCATCCGAGTAGCTGAAAGAACAATCCCTCAGTATTTAGGAAAAATCAGATGCTTAAATGCAACAGGGTGAAACTCTTGTTCCATAAGAATTCACTGAAATTGGGTATTTCAAAAGTCTTCCTGTACTGCTCCAAACCTGCATTGAATCTGTATGATCTCTTTGGAATTTTCTCTAGTTTTCCAGAATCCTGTTTTGTTTAAGCAGGGAAAAACCAAAAAACAGGGTCCTGCTCTTAGCTGTTGGGCCTGGGAACTTGTGTTTCGGAACCCATTGGGGTTTATGGAGAGTTTTTAGTAAGCCTTACCTGGCTTGTCAGGACACTTCTGGAGCCCTTTTATAGCTTCTGATTCTTCAGCAGGCCTTGTGTCATTTTAAATCTGATTTTTCCTGAAAAAAATATTTAGGAACTTGTCAAGATGAATAAATTGGTTGAGTTGCATTCTCCAGTTTACAATGCATTCACTTGTGGATGCTCCCATCTTCATGCTTGAAGAAATCCCTGGAAGGTGGGAAGTGGCAGCTTACTGTCATTTCCTTTTGTGTACCAAGAAATGTTCAATTCTACAACACTGTTCTTGGCTTGTTTTCCTGTTGGTGGCACAGAGCCCAAGAAACTCCTGCCCCAGTGTGTAGCATGTAAGGATGTCTGGGGGCGAATTTCATAATTGCTTGAAGGTGAGGATTACAATCTTGAGGTATCTTTTAAAGAAATGTGGGAGTTAATACTTAAACAGCTGTATAGAGGTTTCCTTCCCGTATGTACACTTGGGAATTCCAATGTAAACATACCCATCTCCGATGTGTTGACATTGGCTATCTACCCATGTTTACAAGAGTATGTAAATGATGTTATATATCTGCAAAATAAGCAATTAAAAAAAACAGTGCCCTCGTTAGTGGTTGCCTGGTCCTATTATGATGCTGTCTTGGGGGCACTATGGAACTGCGAAGTACTTGCTTCTCAACTGGGGATATGTAGAATTTCATCCACTGAAACTGCTCTGCTGTGAATGTGGCAAAGAAGAAATAAATATACCTGACCTTTTTACTACAGTGGTGCCTCGCTTAGCGATCACTCTGTTTAGCGAAGAAATCGCTTAGCGATGCATTTTTGCGATCACTTTGCCGATGTTCTCTGTGGTATTTTCATTTTGCGATCATCACAGGGAAGTGATCATCGCAAAGCCCCCATTTTCGCACAGCTGATCGGCGATTTCAAAATGGCCGCCGGGGGAAAAACATGGCCGCCCGCTGTGTTTCGGGACGGATTCCTCGCTTTAGAGGCACCGAAAATGGCGGTGCTATGGAGAATCTTCGCTCAGTGACGAGTTTTAAGCCCCTAGGAATGCATTGAAGGGGTTTCAGTGCGTTTCTATGGGCTTTTTAATATCGCATAGCGACGTTTTAGTTTTGCAGTGATTTTTGCGGAACGAATTAACGTCGCTAATTGAGGTACCACTGTCATTATTTATTTATTTTTATTATATGCCATAATGGTGTCTTCCCTAGGTGGGTGGGTGTCGGTTCTGGTCCTTCCAGTGCCAGTGCAGGATTAGGGCCCTAGTTGATGGATACTTGCACTTAAGCATATATGAGGCCAAAGGCAGGATAAACATGGACTTCCGGGTTTCCCACACACCCACTATTATTCCCAGAATTCTGGTAGTTGTAGTCAAGACATACAAGTTTTCAGAGGAGTTTTGGTATACACACATGTGCATTAGCTTGAAGGAGGAAATGTGAAGAAATGACTAAGCTCCATGGAAACTGCAAGGGAATAGGGGACTTTTTTTTTTGAGAGGCACTCTTAACAGAGCTTAATGAGAAAGGGACTACCAGTCTGCTCACCCTTTGCAGCTCCTGCCCATTTCCTCTCCTTTAGGTTAATGACAGTTGTTCCAGAGAGGTTGCACAGGTGTTTGTACAGAATTTTTTTCTGAGAATTGGATTTATTGGCTACAGCTACCAGAACTCTGACGGGAGGAATTCCCAGCGAATTGTGGAGGGTGGGGAGAATCTGAAAGCCTCATGCCTAGTGCAGGGTTTTCATATGGCCCCTTATGGCTTAGCCCCTGAGTAAAGTTAGGAAAATGGACTAAACTGCAAAGATGTTTGAAGACCACTATGTTCAGGGTAGAGTCCGAAGCTGTAGTTGTAGTCGGTGACAGGAATCTGTTTTAACTTGAAATTGGACATTGACTGGGAAGTTTCAACAAAGCATAGTCTGTTTTGCTGAAGATTTCCAGCTCTACTGTATGAATTTGTTGGAATGTTTCCCCGGATGTAGGTGCATTATCAAGTAGCCTCCCTAAGCTTCCACTCTGTGCAGTGACAGAAATAAATGCAGGTATGTTCAGAAGAGAGAGAGAGTTGGGGTGTCAATGCAAAGCCTGAGAGAAATTTTCATACCAAAAAGGTGGAGCTTGCCTTTCAAATACTGTACTGTATTAACGGGCCTCACCGTTTTCCTGTATTCTTTCTCTCCCCACCAAATGTTCTTTGCCTTCCTTTCCTGATTTGTTGACTGAAAAACTAGAACAGAATGGCTCTGTCCTTCTCAGACCCCCTTCCCTCCACCTCTTTCCGAAGCATACTACAGCCAGTATTTTTGAAAACATATCCAAGAGGCATATCTTAATCCAGTAGGAGACAGAGTGATGCCTTCATTCTGGACTCCCTCAGGAGTGTTTTAGCATGTGAGACCTGTAGAGAGCATTATGTGGTTTCTGCGAGTAAAGGGATTGTTTGCGTAAGGAAGTTTTTTTTCCCTAGGCAACAAAAAGACTAGGAAGGATTGCTGTCGGGGCCCTGTTTTTGTGGGAATCCTGGCAGGCCGTTTGGAAAGGTGTGCCATGCGTGTCTCTCAATATTCCAGAATCCCAGAGGTTACTGGTGGGGGTGTTCAGTTGGGTTTCCAGATCAGTGGGATCGTTCTAGAACAGGAGACTCTTCTGGGATTTAGAACACGCTGTATCCCAGCAACATTAATCCTTGTGCCTCCAGCCGAGCCCGCTTCTCAGTTTCGTTCATGCTTCTCTTCTTCAGGCTGTGATCAACTTCTTTGCCCGCTAGAAGCCCTTCTCTATTAGCAGCTCCTGTGTCTCGGGGTGGAGGGGAGCCCACCCCATTTGGGCCAGCCATGGATCCGGCGTTCCCCAATCCATCCCAGGACCCAGTGAGTATCCACTCTCCTCCCCTTCTCTTGGGTTTTGGGGAAGACAGCATCGTGGGGTGGGGGGTTTCAAGTGGCGAATTGTATTTTCATTTTCTCCCCTTCTATTCCATCCGCAGACCCAAGAAGACGGCATGGCGGCAGATGACTTTGACATTGTGATTGAGGCCATGCTGGAAGCCCCATACAAGAAAGAAGAGGTGAGGATCCTGGAATCTTTGCCGTTCAGATCTGAGGAAAGGGTGTCTGCCATGCCCTCAGGAGTATTTTACAGAGAACCTTGAGAATCACATTTATTTTATTTGAAAAAAGAAAGCTTTCTTATATAGGAAGAACATGTCAAGAGTTGAAATACTATGTTTTCCTCTTGTATAAGATGCCCCCATGTATAAGACGCTCCCCACTTTTCTAATCTAAAATTAAGAAATCTAAGTGGGGCTTAGCAAGTGTAGGGGGAAAGGGATCAAAGCGCTGCAGGATCGCTTCGATCCCTGCTTTCCCCTCCACTTGTTTTTGTTCTCGCCTTGGCTTACTTCTGTGTATAAGATGACCCTCAATTTTTACTCTAAAGATTGTAGACAAAAGTATAGTTTTATACATGGGAAAATATGGGAGTTTGGGAGCGTACATCACGCAGGAAGAGCACTTTGTTTCTTGCTGTAGTTCCCAATTTTTGCCACCCCGCTTCCTAGAATATATACATCTTTTTTTGGTGTCAAAGGCCACCTCTCACATTTCTATAAGAGAAAATCCAGACTTTGCAGCAGTATAAAATAAGATTTATGCATGTGCCTCTGGTGTGTGACATGGTTGTCTATGTTTTAAACAGAAAACATTTTTGAAAATTCTGCTGATTCATACGAGTGCTCTGTTTATGTATGTGTGTGAGAGAGAGAGGTTAAAGAAACAGTTTATGGCATTGGGAGCATTGAAGGATTTTTCCAGCCTTAGTTGTGGTGCAGATCAAAAAAGCAGGTATACAAACAAAAGGGAACGATTAGTCCTGATCCAAAAGCAAGATTAACAAGGTAAAAATGCAATAATAGCCATACAAATAGAAAACAGGTTTAATAAAGCGAATATAGCTAGCTGTTAAAAACAAAGCATGAAAATTATCATTATAAAAATAATTTAATCAAAATACATGAAAAGTACTTAGGCAGCACTTAACTGTCCAGGTAGAAAGTCGCAGTATTAACTGTAAAGCATCATGTGTGTGTGTTGTGTGGGACCGTCAGATCACCTCCAAAACCATGAAAATGCCAGAGATTGCATTCATCAAGTGATTAACAATGGTGATGCCAAGCATGTTTCTGTACTATATTATTTATTTATTTAATTTATATGCCGCCCACACTACCCAAAGGTCTCTGGGTGGCTTACAACACTTAAAATACAATAAAAATTCAGAAACACAAAAATACAATTAAAATATGTATAAAAATTATAGTAGATTATAGACATACTGCTGATGCTTCTTTTATGTGATAGCTTTTTATGAATGTAATGTTTGGTGTTTTTATGGTTTTAGAGGTAGACTAATTTTCTTTGTATATGAGTCTTCATAGACTGGGACTTCGTTACCTCGGCACAGAGTCCAAAATCCTGTTGTTTATTGTAGTAAATTGCACTAGAATATGAGGGTTTGGTGAGTCAACCCCTTTTTTACATGTTCCACTGATTCAAATAAGCTTCCTTTCACTGTGACTAGTCAGAGTAGGTTGACTTGAATAAATGAAACTTACAGAGCAGTTGTCTTACCAGATATTGGTTGATTCAATAGGCCTACTGTAGTGTGATTTATTACACTAAGCAACAGGATTTTGGCCCATTAGTGCTTAGAGCACTTGGCGTCTTTTGATTTCAATCTGTTCGTAACTAGAGCTTTTGCACTTCCCTTTGAGCAGTTACGTTTTTGTTTTGCAAAATCAATTGTTCTTTTTGATTATACTGATGTTCTCCATTGTTTACAAACCTTTAAAAAGCTGACGTATTGCTAAGTCTAGGAGCAATAACTTCTTGCCAGAATCAGTTTTGAAAGTATCGCATTTAAAAACCTAAATTTGACATTTTCGTGGGATGCTCTTCAAAAGGCATAGTAGGCTGGCTTCTCATGAAGGAGCCCATGTGCCCCCGTGACCATCTGGAGAGAGGGTGGTTTGCACGGAAGGATGGTATGAACCTTTGTGTTCAAGTTTGCTGGATGACTTCAGTGCTTATTCCTTGCTTTTGTGTCATCTAGAAGAGTAAAAATGAGATTTTCTTTTTTTAAATGGCATCTTTGCTTTTAAGAAAGCCTTGTAATGTCGGCATTGAGCTTTAGCATTTTTCTTCCCAGAGCTCAGTCGTCCTGACTGTCCATTCAGTCATTCTCCTGGTTTTTCCCCATCCAGTGTTCTAAGAAACGTGTTGTGAGTTTTTCCTTGGTGTTAAATGAGTATGAGCAGCGGTGTTGGGAGGGGCAAAGTATGTTTGTTCCCCCTCTCCCTGTGTGTCTCAGTGACCCCTTTCTGTGTTTGCTCCAGGCCCAGCCAGGACCCTCGAAGCCACCCGTCGATCCCCCCACAGCACAGGTAAGGTATGAAAGCGGTCAGGAGTGGCAGGGGCAAGGAGGAAAAGGGAGCTGGGCATTAGGAGGTGAGAGGGAGGCCGGGGGGTGGAGGGGGGGTGATGCAGCCATTCCTACTGACCCTCCCTTTCCCTCCCTTCTGTCTCAGCCACCTCAGGAGGAGCAAGGAAAGGAAGCAAAGAAAGAGACTGCCCCCAGCAGCAGCGGGGAAAGCAGCAGGTGAGTTGGGGGATCTTCTTTTGGCACCCCTTTTCCCCTTCTCCCCTCCCCTCCCCTGCGCATCTCTCACCTCTCTCCTCCTTGACTGCAGCAAAAAGAAGAGGAGCAAAAGTCGTAGCAGGAGCCGTGACCACAGACACAGGTAGGGGTGGGCATGGGTGAGGAAAGGGCAAAGGCAGGATAGGGTCAGGGTTTCTCATTTTTCCTCCCTTTCCTGGCGAATTATGGGAGTGGTAGCCCAATCACACCTGAATGGGAACCGGTGCATGAATGCTTCTTTTGAACTTTGAATAAACATGAGGTTTTTTAAGCAAAGCACGCTGCTCATCTATACCGCCCCATAGCACTTAAAGCAATCTCTGGGCAGTTTACAAGTTAATTAAAGCAGGCTGCACATTGCCCCCCCCCCAGCAAGTTGAGTACTCGTTTTACCAACCTCCAAAGGATGGAAGGCTGAGTCAACCTTGAGCTGGCTACCTGGGATTGAAGCCCGGGTTGTGAGCACAGTTTTGGCCGCAGGGCAGCAGTTTAACACTGCTCCAGGAGGTGCCTTCTGTTTAAAATACGGAGAACAAGCGATGGACCAGTTGCTGGCCATGGTTCCTCTTCCGCATATGTGGGTGAACTGCTTTCTGTGGTTCCTCTCTGTTTTTCATCCTCTTTGGCAGGTGGGGTTGATAACTGCCGGCATTTTTTAATTTTGTGCTGTGCAGCTTCATGGTGGGCAACCTCTGGTGGTCCAGGGGTGACAAGACCCCCCTACCTCTGGGCCTCAAAAGGACAGCTCTTCCCTCTCTAGTAGCAAATATACAATGATGTGCCATCAGGTCAGTTCTGACGTATAGCAACCCTTTTCGGGGTTTTCTGGGGGCACCCTGGGAGTGTGATCTTTATTAACTTTCTTATTTTGAGAAATGAGAAAATAGCTCTTGTCGTTGAGGGCAGAATTGCTGAGGTATCCTCTCACATGGGAGAACACTTGAGGAACACCAAAGGGATTTCTGAGCCATTAAAAAAATCTGGTGGTGTTGGAGGCTCTCCCCCCCCCCAGAGGTGTTAGCTGCTTTCCTGCAGCCCCATGTTGCCCGTCCTGGTGCAGCAAGGGAAGTGGCTCAGCAAGGGGCAGGAGGGCAGATCGCCATCTCCTCCCACGGCCTCTCCATCCCTTCCAGCCGCAGTCGGGACCGGGACCGCCATCGCCGGCGCAGCCGGGACCGCCGCAGTCGCCATCGGAGCCGCAGCCGCCATCGGAGCCGCAGCCGGGACCGGAGACGAGGAGGCAGCAGGTCCCGCAGCAGAGAGCGCCGGCGGGAGGAAAGAATGCGCTACCGCAGCCCCCCTCCTCCTGGGTAAGAGGCACAGCGCTCTTGGGAGGGAGAATGGTGAAAATCTTTACACGGGAGTTCAGGTCCTGGCGATTGACCAGTTACATTGCAGTTATCGTCTCCTCCTGAAAAACGTTCTCAAAGTTTCCTGAATTCCTTAGGGCAGAGGTGCACAACCCCCAGTCTGTGGCCCAGTGCCGGTCCGTGGCCTGAGCCGGACTGGGCTGCCGAGACAGACCTCCTCCCCCGCACGCACTAACCCCTGCACAGCCCATTTGTGGCTGTGCACAGACCTCCTCCCCCGCACGCACTAACCCCCGCACAGCCCGTTTGTGGCTGTGCACGCGCTCCAGCACACCCGTGTGAGCACCATGCTGCCGTTTGCACATGCGCCTGTGCAAGCGCATGTGCACAAGCGCGGGTGTTGTCACTCCAGCATGCCCGTGTGAGCACCACGCTGCTGTTTGCGTATGCGCCCGTGCAAGCACTCCACTGCCGTTTGCGCATGTGCACAAGTGTCGGCGCTGTCCTGCCTTCCCCAGCCAGTCCACGTACCAAAAATGGTTGGGGACCGCTGCGTTAGGAAGTCCTAGCAACAAATGCCCGGGTCCTAGTTAATAATGAACTTGGCTTTCAAAAGACCTACCTTCATACCCCAGCAACAACAGTAAGTTATACTTACTGCCTCTGTTCTCAGGGAATGGGCTTCGGGGCTGTCCTTTCCTAGGATTTGTCATCCCTTCATCTGTTTGTAGTGCCAGAGTTTAAATAGGTTGTTTTGCCCCGTTTCCTGCTCCCCTGTCTGCAGGCGGCGATTCGGACACAGCAAGAGTCCCCTCTACCGAGAGAAGAGTCCCCTCCGGTGAGTGTCGTGATTGAGGTCGGGCTGTTTGGGCAAAGGGGCCTGTGAGTTGCTCCGTGCATTTTTTTCTCTGATGGAAGGTTTTTCTGGTCCTGAGCAACGTTCATGGTCTCTTACAGGGAACCTTTGGGCAGCCTTAGCCCAGAGGAGCGTGATGCCCGCACGGTGTTTTGCATGCAGCTGGCCGCCCGCATTCGCCCCCGGGACCTCGAGGACTTTTTCTCTGCCGTTGGCAAGGTAAAAAGAAACGGCCCATTACCGTTTTGTCGTTCTTTAAATCCGCCTTTCCTCTTTCGATGCTTCTCAAGGCGGCTCGGCAAACATCGTTCAAACCAATTTAAAACAATGCAGCGCTTGAAATCATAAATGCTAAGTAAAATGGTTTAAAAGGCCAAATTGAAAAAATGCATCTTCACACCCTTCCCAAAGGCAACAAGAGTGGGAACTGATCACAACTCCGGGGGGAGTGATTTCCACAAACTGGGACCAACACAGGAAAAAGCCCTCTCCCACCTGCCCATCAAGCAGGCCTCCACAGGTAATGGTAATTCCTTGAGGAGGGCATCTCATGAACAGTTTAGCACGATCAGGATGAGCCAGGCAGTGCCTTTAGTTAAATCATCCCCATGTCCTTCAAGTCAATTCTGACTTGCAATGACCCTTTCAGAAGTGGTTTCCCATTCTGTTCTTCGGGGCCGGGGTTGGGTGGGTGCTCTGGGATGACGGTGCAGCTCTGGCCCAAGGCCACCCAGGCTGGCTCTTCTCCCAGGAGGCCCAATGGGGGGGCAATCAGACTCCCATCCTCTGGCTCTGCTGCCAGATACCTGAGCTATCCAGCCAGTTCCCTTTAGTTAGCCAGGTCTCTAATCGTTTGGGGCTTTAAGAGTTAAACTAGCACCTTCGATTGGTGCCCAAAGAGCCCTGAGCCATCCCTGCAGGTCTTTAAGTCTGGGAATAACAGGATCTCAGGACTCTGCCCTGAAATGCCAGATTTTGTACGAGACGGGGGTCCATGCGGTGGCTCGTTAAGGGTAGTTCCGTGTAGGGTGAATTGCGTAGTTGAGGCCCAGGATAATTAAGGCCGGGATGGTGGTTGCCTGGGCAGAATGATGCAGGAAGGGTCAGCGTTAGTGCGCTGGGTGGGGTTGTGCAAAAGCACACCTTGCGCCACTGTACTTGCAAAATCTTTGTGAACGTCGCTCTCCTTTCCTCCTCCTCTCAGGCTTTTGACAGGTTCAATTTCATAGCCAGGGAGTGGTCCTCCTGTGGCCCTCCGGCAGATGTTGAGCAGTTCCGGCCTGCTCCAGGCAGCAGGGTTGGGGTGATGGGAATTGTAGTGCAACAGTCTCTGAAGGGGCCACCCGTTCCCATACCTGCTTGACCCTTTCGGGCCTCCCGTTCCCATTTTGCTTTTGGGTTTTATCTGGCAGGAGATAAAGAAACGAAGAGCCTTGAGCTTTTTTAATTTGCTGAGTCCTTACAGCAGTACCCATTCTCACGTCTGTCTCTGTGCGCGTGTGTGTGTTCTGCTCCTGGGCAGGTCCGTGACGTGAGGATCATCTCCGATCGGAACTCCCGGCGCTCCAAGGGCATTGCCTACGTGGAGTTCTGCGAGATCCAGTCCGTACCCTTGGCCATCGGGCTGACGGGGCAGCGCCTCCTGGGTGTCCCCATCATCGTGCAGGCGTCCCAGGTGCGAGGCGTAGTGGAAACCAGCTAAAATCCATGAATTTGGAGGGGGGGCTTGTGCTGGGACATGTGGGCTTGGTTGGAAAGGGGCGTCCTTAGAGGTTGGGGGTGGTGAAGTGACAGCTCAAGGATGCTCAGAAGAAGAGGATGGTGAGAAAGCGTTTTGTGTGGAGCAGAAGAGAGCTAGAAGAGCTGCTTGTTGAGTTTTGGAAAGGGGGGTTGGACGCTCTTGGATGGTGTTACCTAGATTTTCTCACTGTCAGCCATTGTCAGTGAAGAGAAACCGCTTACCCATGTTTATGTGTGTGGCTCCTTTGATTTGCAACGGGCTGCTTGGTCATCATAGCCACACCCTGGGAATTAATCTGTCACAAGATAAGTTGAGAAAGTCAAATTTCAAATATTCGGAGGGCTGCTTTAAGCTCTTTCTAATTCCACCCCCCATCTCTTACGTCCCTGCTTTTTAGGCGGAGAAAAACCGGTTGGCTGCCATGGCGAACAACCTTCAGAAAGGCAGCGGGGGCCCCATGCGGCTCTACGTCGGCTCCCTCCACTGCAACATCACCAAAGAGATGCTGCGTGGGATCTTTGAGCCCTTTGGAAAGGTGGAGTGGGGGGGAGAGTCATGGCTGGGAGGGGAGGGAGAAAACGGACTGGGCCCCGAGGTGAAAGACGGCGTCTCCTCCAGCCCATTCTCACTTCTGCATCTTTCTCTTCTGTCGGCAGATTGACAGCATCGTGCTGATGCGTGACCAGGACACCGGGCAGTCCAAGGGTTATGGCTTCATCACTGTATGTAATTGGTCTTCCCCCTTTCAAGTGGGTGGGCAGGCAGGGAGGGAGGCAGGGGAATCCCTTAATGCTTCCCTCGGAGGACCCAGCTTTGAGAGTTTACCCGTCCCTCAGTTTGCAGAAGCCGAGTGTGCCCGCCGTGCCCTGGAGCAGCTGAATGGTTTCGAGTTGGCCGGCCGACCCATGCGGGTGGGGCAGGTCACCGAACGCCTGGATGGCACCACGGACATCACGTTCCCCGACGGTGCTGACGAGCCAGACCGGTCAGCCCTGAATCTGGGCACCACTGGCTCCCAGCTGCAGCTTATGGCCAAACTGGCAGAAGGTAAGCGTCCTAGCTGAGGTGGAGCCAAAGGAAAGGTATTCTCTGGAAAAGAAACCCTCGGCAGAAACTGAATTATCCCTTCCATTTGTTTTGTCTTAGTTTTTAACTTTTCCACTCCCAAAGGGAGGCCAGTAAGGTTTTTGAGAAAAGGATGCCTTTGAAACAGGTAGAAAACGTAAGGTAAAGGTACCTGCACGTAGTAGTGAAAAGCCTTGCAGTATTTTCTAGGGTGTTGGTTTGGCTGGAAACAGCGTAACGGAAGGGGAAGCACTGCTCCGAGTTTAGAGATGGGCTCGAACTTTGAAGTTTGTGCCTATCTCTACTCCTCGTCATTGCTTCTCTTGCCGATTGCTGGTGATCAGATCTGCAGTGACAGCCCATCTGTAGATTTTGGTTCTCAAGGCATTCACTGAGCAAAGACAGCCTCTCATATATTCCCCATCCCAGCTGATTAGACCTTTGGCTTTCAAAGGAGATGGGAAAGCATGACCATAAGCAGAGTGAGCGATGCTGAGAAAAACAGGTACATTCCCCCTCCCCCCGGAAGGAGACTTTTGGGCTAGTTACAGCTTCCTCTTGCAAAGGGTATCAAAAGAGTACAGATACAGTAGGAGTCCTCCCTCCCCCATTCACAGATTCATTGATCCACTGCCTGCGAATATTAAATTAAAAAACCCAGAAATAAGTATTTCCATTGCCTATTGACCAGAACTGGGCACTAGTGGGAGCCAAAGACCATGCAATGTAGAGGATTCAATACTTCCTGGTTTTTCCTCTTGGTATTTCTGTATTAAAAACCCTTTTGTGTACTTCAGTTTTATTTCTTACAAAGTGATGAGTTAGCAAGGAAGGAGAAAGAACATGATGCAACTCTCCCCCCCCCTTGCTTTCACAGCTACTGAGGAAAGGGTGCCCTTGAACCACTTTGAATGGCTCCCCGCCCCTTCTCACCTGTCTCTCTCTCTCTCACCGGAGGGAGCCCAGCTTTTTGTGTACCTGCTGCCATAAGCAAGCTTCAGTCTCATTGTCTGCATTATAAGATTGTGAGGGTTCAATTAGGTAGAGGAGATCATTCTCCCTGGATCTTCCTGGTGGGCTGGCAAAGAAATTCGAATGCCTTTTGAGAATGAAAGGGAAAGACGATCTGGAAATTATGGTAGTGAATTTTAACCTGGTAAGAGGGGGTAGGAGTGAAAAAAATCCTCTTAATGCTATTATCTACACAGCAGCTTAATTATTTTTTTTTTGCTTTAGTCATGCTACACGAGAGATCCTATTAAATTACAAGCCGCTTCAGAGAAAGCATCAAATGCCGTTGTGTTTAGCTTTCCGCCCTGGAGGGTGCCTTGAAGGTGATTTAGCTATTTGGAGGCACAGTAAATAAAGTTCTTTCTTTGCCTCTGGTGCCCTTCCTTTGCTGGATGTGTTTGATTACCATTTTCCCCCGAAAATAAGACAGGGTCTTATATTAATTTTTGCTCCAAAAAAACACATTAGGGCTTATTTTCAGGGGATGGGTTTTTTTTTCATGTACAGCCATCTACATTTATTCAAAGACAGCCATGTCATCATCATCTGGGGCTTCACTTACCTGGAGCTTATTTTTAGGGTAGGGCTTATATTTCAAGCATCGTAAAAATCATACTAGGGCTTATTTTCAGGGAAACGGTAATATTACAAAATGTTTTCAGACGTGGCCTAGGGTTATTCCCGTAACTGAGCAGGTCTCCGGCCAGGAGCTGTTACATAAACTGTTAGATTCTTGTGTGGGCACCATTTCGGTGAAACATCTGAGCCCAAGGTGTTGCATTTCTCCCTACTCCAGCAGGTTCTGCGATTCCTCTCTCGACTACAGCAGCAGCTCAGGCTGCTTTGCAGCTCAACGGAGCAATACCCCTGGGGGCGCTGAACCCGGCTGCCCTGACAGGTGAGGCTGGGGGGTGCCCTTTGGGGAAGGGGCTTCTTGGCAGGGATGGCGAAGGGACCTGGAAGGGCACATGGTTATGTTTACACAATGTGGTTTTGGCATGAAAATCGTTCCTTGGTGCTTGCATCTTGCAGTAATGGGACCGCTTCCGAATTATGTCCAGAGGTGAATCAGGGAACACGCAGGACTCTTCATGACACTCATCTCAGATGTTACCCTGTCTAGCCCACTGCTGCCTGACCTACTGAGAATTGACTGACGCAGCTTTCTGTGGTCGTCAGGAAATGCCTCTTTCAGCTTTGCTGCTTGAGAGCATCCTTTTAACTGGGGGGGTGGGTGGAGTACCATGGACTGAGCACAGGCTGTTGCCCCAGTGGTGTTTGTGTTTTGCTGCTGTACTGCAGGTCAGAATCGATTCAGCCTGTCTGCTGGGTAGCCCGTAAAGCCCTTTCTGTAGCCCAGGCAGCATGGTGGGGGTACAGTTCCTTTCTTTTCAACATTATTGTTTTCTTGCTGATAGTAGAGACAGGGAAACAGCAGCCACGTTGTAGATCACAATCTCTGAATCTCAGCTGGAAGGGCCATTTAATCGTCCCCATTTCTGTCTGCTGAGCTGCTGTTAGAAGCAGAGCCTACGTATATTTAGTTCCCTGCGTGCCTCCTAAGACTGGAAAGGCTGCACCTCTGTCTAGTCTGTCCAGGTGGTTGTGTAGTTCTCCAGGGTGGCCCTTTGAGTTGAGATCACGTCCTGAAAAGGTGTTAACGCTTCTCTGTGCTTTGTTTCTCTAGCTCTCAGCCCAGCACTGAACCTGGCTTCACAGACGTTGGCTTCTCAGTGCTTCCAGCTCACGGGCCTCTTCACCCCCCAAACAATGTGAGTGCCTGAATCGCAGAGACTCGGTGAAGGAAGGAAGCGCCGTGTGCTCTTGACGCTGGAAGAATCTCGTTGTGCATGGTTTTATTTCCCCACTAAAGACTTGAAATGAGATTTGACGTGTGTTTTTTTTTTTTTAACATCGGTGTGTGAAAGTAGGACTCCCAACCCCAGATCCGAGCCCGGCCGTCTCCCCGTTTCCTAAACTGCATCACCCACCCACGCCTTTCCTGCCTTATCCCACTCAGATTTCTGTGAGTCTTTGCACATCCAAGCCTGCTGCCCTCACAGATGCCAAGTTCTCCATGTGTGTTCTGTTGCTGCCAGTTCCCCTGCACAGCTTTACTTTCTGTTATGTAAGGTGTTTTGTGTGTGTGTGTGAGAGAGATCCAGATTTCCAGACTTTCATATTTTGAGAGAAAAGCGAAGGCGAGAAGAAAATGCGGGCAAAAAATGCAGCTTTGTACACGATGAAGGATGTCCGCTTATTTTGAAACACCAGCCGAAACAGCTGCTGAAGGTTGTTGCTAGTGTATTGTGTTTGTGACGCTGTGAGAGTCTGTGTGTGTGGAAGGTGTGCAGCCCAGGAACCTTAATGGTGAATGGAGGCCAGTCTTGCTGTCCTCCGTTAACCCCTGCTCTTTCTCTGTCTATTGCAGGTAACGCCACCTGGTTTCCCCCCCTGTCCTCCCTCTCCCACGGAGCCAGGAGGGGAATGATCATCTCCACACCATCACCTCACCGCCCCCACTGGAAAGGAGGCAGGGGGGATGAACTCTGAAGGAAACCCTCCGCCTGCTTGGAGAGGGACCTTCTTTAACACGAACTGATTTTATTCTGATTTCCCTCCCACCATATACTGGGAGGAGGGGCTGTGTTCTGTCTCTTGGTTCTAGAATCATAATTGGACGGGGGGGTGTATTGAGCTTGAGAAAGACTGGGGGACCCATTTCCCCCTGAACGTGGGGTTGCAGCGTCTCTTGTCTCTCTTTTCTTTCTCTCTTTATTTTTTTCCTTCTGGCAGAGGCCACATAGGGCCAGCATGCCGGGATGTACATTTGCCATTCCTTTGTCCCACCCTCTGCTCTCCGACGGTGTGTTGTGGGTATATTTGCTAGACAGCTTTCCGAAGTGGCTCTTGGCAGGTGCCGTATGTATGTTTTGTACATAGAAGGGAGAGCGGTGAACCAGCTTTTGGGTGGGAGGCCTGGTCCCGAGGGGATGCCCCTCCCCCTCCTCCCCAGCCGTGTTTTATTCTCTCTCCCTCTTCCCGCCCCCAAAGTCTGTAAAGAGGTTGCATACAATGTGGGAATGTCGTCCCCTGCCTCCCTCCCCTCTCCACGCCCATCCCTTTTTTTCTCAAGTCTGCATCCTCTTCTTGGTGTTCCCATTTTCTGCTGCGCCTTCCCTTGGCGTCCCTCAGATCACCTCTTCCCCCCCCCTTCCATTCCTCACCGTCAAAGGTGTATTTGGGTTTTATTTCTTTTTATCTCTTTTGGGTTTTATTTTATTTTCCCCTTTTTTTGCTTATAAATGAATAATAAAAGTCACCAAATGTAATTGGGCGTCTGTCCCGTTTTTTTGTTGTTGTTTTTTTGGACCACCCAGAATGCATGTCGTAAGGGTGAGGTGGTTCTGTGCCTAGGCGGGATGGGTGCAAATCTAAAGGCTGGGGCTCTAAAGGAATAAGCAGAGTAGGCACCCCTCCCCCCCCAAGGCTGTTCTTCAGCTCCTTTATTCCAGCTTAAAAATAATAATGTCTTCACCTTTTGGTGGAAGCTCCAAAGGATGGTCTTTTACCTTTTTAAAAGGTCATTATGCTCTCCAGCGGATTATTTAGGAGCCTCAGAAACCCATTTCTCAAAATTGGAAGGAGACGTCTAGCTGCTTTTAAATTTGTGGTCATATGTGCAGTGCCTGAAGTGTTATAGGAGAAGCACATTGGCCCAGCTATAGTTGCTCACTTCACTAAACACCTAAGACCCCTCAGGGAAGGTGTGTGTGTGTGTGTGTGTATGCGTGCATCCATCAGCTGAAGACGGGAGTCTGGAGAAAACAGAAAGATGTCTTTTTTGATGGCTGACTCATCCCTTCCTCCCGTCTCCTCCATTTTAAATAACATACTTTGAAGAGAGTAAGACTGCACCATCTCTGGAAATGCCCAAGCCCATGGCCCTTGGGGAAAGGTTTATAGCCAGAGCCTTACCCACAAATGTTTGAGCAACAGCGGCACGTCGTCCACCTGGTGGGGATGGGTGGGTGGATTGTGGCGGTAGGTGGCTTTAGGCCGTCTAAAAACTTCGTTTTTGGACTAGATTGTCTGGAAACCAACCCAGCCAGTCTGGCCGATGCTGGGAATGGTAGTCTTAATTCCAAGAACTCTTCTGGAGATAAGGCACCAAAAAGGAAAAGCCTGAAGGGATGTTTCAACTAGATGGAACACCAAAATAAACCACCGTTTCTGCATTTTGATGGAGTGGTGCAACTTTGGCTGGATGGCGACGTACAAGGGAGTTGTGAAAGGAAGTTTTCCCAGGCTCTAATCTAGACTCGAATTTTAGACTCATTTTGTGGCACACATTAGCAAACACACACACATGTCCCGTGGTTTTGGAATTACCGATTGTGGCGGGAAATACGCACATCAGTTTCTGGATGGGAGATCTGGTCTGAGCTGTTCAAGTCAACATCTGTGGTTAGCTTGCCTACAAGCCGGTTTCAAGCCACTGGCCATACTTAGGCCGACCTTCTTGTGTTGTCAAAATTGCCTTTTTAGTTCACCCATCATCCTAAGCTGCCCTTCTGGCCACAAACCGCCCAGAAGAGGTGGGCCACCCCCATCCGTCGCTTCCTTTCTGCGGGTGGTCTCAGAGGCTGACCAAGTTGCCCAGCCGGTGTGTTGTGGTGGCTCAGAGAAGGCTAGCGCATCGCCTGCCCCGGGCCACCTCGGCACCTCTTTTTATCCTTATTCGGTGCTGCTTCGCATGGCTGCGGACTTGGAGAAATACAGAGCCTACGGTAGGGTTTTGAGCTGGTGCTCCCTGCAGACCCTTCAGATTGCAGAGTTGCAGCGAGTTAGCGCTCGGGTGGATGTTTCCGCTCCCAAGCAGGGGTGTGGAAGACGGCCAGATCCTGCGTGCGATTCCTTGTTAACATGCTCTTGATCGTGAAGCAGTCGCTCTGCAGGCTACGAGGGGCATGGGAACACGGAGTGTGGCAACACTCCAGTTCTTATATCATCCCTGTAGCAGAATCTCTTGTGTGGCTCTTCTGCACTCGCTTCCTTCCATGACGATCTTGAAACATTTAATTTCTTTTTTTTAAAAAAGAGACGTGTGAGCCCCTTCAGTGCAGGGCCCCCCCACCATTTTTGATTTTGCCACCTCTATCCGCGTGCAAGGATGCTCCACGCTGGGCCTTCTCTGGAGGTCTCGGGTGCATCAATCGCCTTAGCAAGCAAGATGGATTTTATGGACCTACTGTAAATGAAAAATCTTATCTACAATTGCAGCTTCCCATTGCAAACTGCCTGCTTCTTAGAACTTCTACTCCCACCGCCCCATAGCTTGGGGGGGCCTCTCCCTGAGGATGCAGAGCGTGATGCCACCTCTATAAATACTCTTCCTTGTTCCTTCTTATCCAATCTGTGTTCGCTCCCCCCCCACCTGCCATATACCCCACTGAAACATCCCATCTTTACATCTCTTCCCAGAGCCCCGATTCCTGTCATCCAGGGCTCTAATGGAACTGTTTAAGTGCTCGCTTGCTCTAATAACCGATAGTGGATCACTATGGCAATGGGAAACATTTTTGTCTCCATGGCAACTACTCAGCTATGGACTGCAAGGACGTTCCTATGGCAAACAGAGGCGCATCCCCTATCTTGTTCCCGTTCTCTCTCTTCCCCTCCCCGCCTTGGTCTCCTTCACTCATCCAATTTATAGATGTTCGAGCCATGCATAGGAGAGAGAGAAATAGGGAGGTAGGCTGAGGAAGAACAGGAAAGACGTGTGTTATTGTTGGTTGTTGCGGGTGTTTCGGGCTCTTTGGCCGTGTTCTGACGGTTGTTCTTCCTAGCGTTTCATCAGTCTCTGTGGCCGGCCTCTTCAGAGGACAGGAGTCAGAAC